AGCTGAAACTTGGAGAACTACAACAACCACCATCAAGAAAGTACAAGTATTTATAAATAGCTGTCTACGCAAGATACTCAACATCCATTGGCCGGATACCATCAGCAATAGCCTTCTGTGGGAGAGAACAAACCAACTTCCAGCTGAAGAAGAAATTAGGAAAAGACGATGGAAATGGATAGGACATACATTACGCAAATCGTCAAACTGCATCACGAGGCAAGCCCTAACTTGGAACCCTGAAGGGAAGCGAAAAAGAGGAAGGCCAAAGAACACATTGCGTCGGATAATAGAAGCAGATATGAAAAGGATGAATTACAACTGGACGGAGCTGGAAAGGATTGCCCAGGACAGGGTTGGATGGAGAATGCTGGTGAGTGGCCTATGCTCCTTCACGAGGAGTAACAGGCGTAAGTAAGTAAGTAAGTAAGTTGAATAACTTGTAGTTTTTGGTAAAAATAAGTATAAAGTCAGTCAGTCAGAACACCATTGTGATAGATTCTGAGCCATATTACCCACAGTCTCCAACCAAGTAGCCTGCATCTAACAACATGGCTCAGATCGGAAATTATTGACTTCAAGCACTGATGCCATGTTTTGGTTTGACCGCCCCTAACATTCTTTCAACATCCCCAACACTAGTCAACATTGAGTGTCGTGGTAATCGATGTTCAGGTATTCGTAACACGTGGCCCAACCATCTCAGTTGATGAAGATTCACAACCTCATCTACTGATTTACCATCATTCCCTAATAGCCTGTGTCCAACCTCACTATTACTTACCTGGTGATCCCAGCAAATGCTAGCAATATTTGTAAGACATCTGTGGTCAAATACTAGTGGCTTACGAGTATCTTCTACTCCTAATGGCCACATTTCGCAGCCGTACAGTAACACAGAACAAACTGCCGCGCAGTATAGTCGTTCCTTAATTGATAGACGGATATCTCGCATTTGCCATAGGTGACGTAAATTGGCAAAAGCCAAACGAGCTTTTCGTACCCGTGCCGATAAGTATAGAATCGATGAAAAGTAACAAATACCAATAACCAGATATCAATTTCATTTGATTTGTATAGAAATACACCGAGTAAATGTGATGACTTGTTTGATAATTGTTATTTTATGATTCCGATCAACATATATAATTTTTAGGATCAAATAATTAGAAAATCTAAATGTATAAATAATCAACAACAAAAAAATTAATCTATATTGTTTGAAGTTATTTGTTCAATTATTATTTTATTATAATAGTGAATGACTACTATTTAATTTCCATACACATGAAATAGATTCATTGACATGACTTTATTTTTATAAATGTTACTAGAATGGACAAGTTTTGATGAGGTTAAAACTAACTTTATTACATCTATCCAAATGTTAGTTTTGTATCATAGATCAAATGACTAAGGTTTTTGATAGTACATGATCATATTTACAAATGGAATTAATTATTTGTTAAAATAAATTTAACATTTGTGAAAGGTGTGAATATTCACAACAGATGGTAATCTTTTATAGTGTGATGAAACATTACAGATTTATTAATATATTAGTGGGTGTTAAATTTTGCCTTGTCATTCAGTGTTAGAACTTAATGATGTTCATATCTTTGTTACATCTAAATATATAATTACCTTCATTGGAAAATTGTTTTTTCTTCTTTTGTAAAGCATATAATTTATTCGTAATAGTAATAGTAATATTTGATGCTAACTTTACTGTTTGGTGGTTAAGTACATTATGACTTCAATAGTTGAGATCATGAGTCAATTAAAACTAGACCACCATCGAAAACATGGAGTCACTGGACTATCGTTTAGCCCTATTGTGGAACTACTCAGCAGTACTCATCCACGACCCCACCTTTAGAGATTCGAACCCAGGAACCCAGGAGCGCTTAACCACTAGTCCACTGAGCTGGCCGGCATCCGACGGTGTTAATGTCTAACTTCAATTGATCCACGAAATTGAGTGACACATCCACCATTGTTATCAGTGAGTTACTATCTCACAACAGACCCGGTTGAACTCCACTGGTCACTGCTTCTCACTAGAACTGCAGGATATACATCTTAAAGCCAGTCACTAGTGAGCACTGCTGAAGAGTCTCACAATAAGACGAAACGGCCATCCAGTGCTTCCAAGTTTTCCATGATGGTCTAGCTTCAATGCACTCATGATCTAAACTATTCGAATTACTACAATCTTCACAAAACTCCTTCTGATACATTCTAATTACTCGGTTCAGAAAATCATTTTTGTTTAGAAATATCTTACTGATTTATACCATAATTCTTAATAATAAAATGAACTTCAATAAGGAACTTCAATGATCGAAGCTGTTTTGAAAATAAATTAATTCACTAAATAATTAGCTAATTTAAATAATTTGTCATGTAAAGAATGAAACTTTATACTTACAATGTTTATATTGTAAAAGTAGACAGAAATAATTAACCAAAAGGTTTCAAGTAGAGAGTATGGCATATTTTGAATAATACATTTCTTTACAACTTCAAATTCAATAATTTCTGAAGTATATACTAGCTCAAAATGTAAGTAATGGAAATCTATTAGATAGTTTTGTTCTATCAATTGACAAACAATTGCTAGTGTTTAACCATGCCTTTATGTTTAATTTATTAGATAGTAAGTGACTAACAAGATAACTAAAAAGCTTCTGTAGTAAAATAAAGATTGAGCAGTTTATTTCACTGATATTTTGTTGAGTTCAATAACTTCAAGTTAGAATTTGTAATCCATTTTAATGAGTAACAACAATCAGTCCGGATTCAAATGCGGAAAGTTAACCGATAATTTTAATCCTTTTATTAAACTTGACTTTATTAACCATATATATATATATATATATATATATATATATATATATATATATATATATATATATATATATATATATATATATATATATATATATATATATATATATATATATGTATATATATATATATACATTTCAAATGTTTTCAATAATTCATTTATGATTACTATTTCAAGATTGGAAGTAATAGGAAAACTACTATTTTTCAGCCTAGTTAACCAAGTTTAGTATAGTAGTAATAATGATTACCATTCAGACAGTCCTAATGTGATGCGTGCTACTTATATTGATATAAGTAGTATATGACGCGAGTCAGGAATGTAATATCTGGCAGCAGGAATAGAAAGTAATTAGTATGGAATGCAAAAATAACGAAGTTCGAGACAATTATTGAACAAATCAAGCAAATCAAGTATTACAGTATGGTTTTTCTATTTTACTAAATAACTCGTTGATTGTTTGTTCTATCCTTTCCTATACAATAATATGAAATAAAAGATAATACAAGAGAAAAATTGGAAGCAAGTATTTCAGACTGTAGAATAAAATAGAAGAATTTACATTATCCATCAGCTAGTTTTTAAAAATAGCATTTTGTCTTGTTTGTACGACTGGTTATAATTTCTTTGTTGTTTTTTTAGAGAAAAAAAAGCAAAGAAACAGAGACTAAAAAATATCAAGATAATGACGATACTTGTAATGATGACAGTGATTTATTATTACTGTAAACGAACATATTTATATTGATGTTACATGAAATATTCTGAATACGTAATATACGTCAAATTGAAAAGGACAAATTCTGGATTATCATTATAATGTTCAAACTCAAATATTTTACTATGCAAAATCAATCCACTTTACATATAGGATTCATTAACAATATGCATTGAAATTTTAATTTTTATCCGATAGTTAGTACAATCATGCCAAGAATTGATGAATATTTTAAATAGTTGAAATCATGAGTTGATTGAAGCTAGACCACCATGGAAAATCTAGAAGCATTGGACGGCCGTTTTGTCTTACTATGGGACTCCTCAGCGATGCGCATCCATAATCCCACCCTGCGAGATTCGAACCTACAACCTATCAATTGACTCATGATCTCAACTATTAGAATTACTATATTATTAACAAAAACACCCCTTCTGATATTGACTGATGGATATGTCCTGTCCTTTACCCTGAGACATCATTATGTTATATTTAGAAAATATTTCAGAATTTAATTTATATGTGCTTGTTATTAAAAACAAAAGTTCAGCTTTCAGTTTGTTGACTTTAATCAATTGTTAACTCTACTGAGCTTCTGAATAATAATTGATACTTACAATGTTATACAAAGTCACGAGCAAAATGTTTTCTTTAAACTAATAAATAGTCAGCATCAACAAGTAAATTTAGATTTAAGAAATTGAGGTATTTTTGTCTGTATATGAAAAAGTTGTGATAAATAATTACAAAATAGTAATGAGTATTATGAATTAAGCTCGACTGTTGTTCTAGTTCTACCGACCAAGTTTTTAATATGACCATTAATTTAAGTAGTGAATTTCATCTAAATAAAATTGTTTACCATCAAGAATTATGTAATCTGACACTGAAATATTTAGTGATCATAATACAATTAATAATAAAGGTTAGTTTTTAATCAAAAAGGCTATGATGTCGCATGTTTAGAAAAGCCCCTGATGACAATGACTATGTTTGAATATCATTTTCCTTTAGTTTACATATGTGTCTTAAAAGATATGTTATTGAATATGTATTGTAGGCCTAAAAATTCTACGAAAAACAAATGCTGTAGACCATCTGGTGTGATTTTCATTCAATGTAGATCATTTTCAAGCAGGAGATATCATCTAATGTCACATTAAAATATAAATTAAATAGATCAATTAAAAAGAATTGAAAATCATTCATTCAAACTGTATGTATGGGTAGGCTGCTACAAACTTGTACAAAATTAGATAGATGTTCAATAATAATTAGACTTAATATCATCATTTGATGAATTACAGTTTTATCAAAACCAGTATGTAATTAGTTAACCTAATAAACCATGGCAACAACTAATACACTCCTAAAGATAGAATAAAAAAATCAGGACTGTATAGTTAAAACAATTATCATTGTAAAACTTACTTGTCTACATACTCTGAATATTCAATAGGAGAGAAAGTAAGATTTTGTAATTTATTTGAAATTTGTTTTTTAATTCCAGAAAATTGATTAGAAATTGGAATTGATTTTAATGTATCATTAATTATTGGTTGTATATCAGTTAGATGATTATCAGCTAATTGAATTGGAATATGACGTATTGTAGTTGGTAGTGATGAAAAACTATCACTTTTATTTATAATCGGTAAGAAAAGAGAAGTATTAAAGGTCGATGTTGAAGCAGTAAGTCGAGATTTGCATAAATTATTACTTTCTATATTTTGTTCAGTTTGTTTTGATGAAGGTTGACGTATACTTAAAATAGTTTCACTTCTTGTAACTCTTTCTCGACTCCAACAACGTATAACTTCTTTTCTTCGTGTTTGCCTTGATGGTGATCGATTTTCACTATTTATAGGATCTTGAATTCGAATATATGTGTTTTTACGATGTTGATGTAAACTATATACCGAATGAACTTCTTGTTTTGAAATTGTACCAGGAAGGGATCGGTCTCTAAGTTCATGTACTCCATTTACAGATAATTTACGACCAATATGATCATTACTAGAGCTTGTATCTGACCTCGATACTCGACCATTTAGATTTGGTTGAGATGTTGTAGTTGGTGAATCCAAACAGTATCGCAGTAGATTTTTATTTGTGGCACATATATTTTCAGAATTATTAAAACATATTGGGGTAGTTAACGTACGAACAGCTTTACGACCTTGAGTTGAACGGTATGGAGATTCAAGCATTGAATATTCTTAATCTGTCTACTTTATTTTTGCCTAAACTAACGATTGTAAATTAAAGTATAATTTCCTGAATAATAATATGTCATGCACCTAAAGATGATCAGAATCTTTTATAGAAGTACAGAAATCAATGTCAATAAAATACTTTCTGCAGAAATAACCGTAAGCACAAAGTTCACTTTTCCTTAGACTAATGTCCTTAAGAATGATTTTTGATTATTTCCCACCCAGTTATATTTCACCACTCAGTAATGTTCTTGAAAATGCGTCGTAAAATGGGTAAATAAAAGTCACATATCAAATCAAAAATATTGGATGGATTATTGGTTATTTTAAAATTGACCAATGACATTTCATGTTTAAACAGGAAAATTTTGTGACTACTTGTTTTACTTGTTACATTGGCAAAACTAATGTGAAACAGTGTGATAACGTCAAAGGGTACATAGTGTCCTCTCAAAAGTTTAAACGCGTTTTATAAGACAGGCTGTAAGGAAAACAACTACCTTTCTAAATATTACTGCTAGTATTTGACTTGATAATTTAAGATTTATTGAGTACTGAATATTTTGTATATAATGAAAATAATACAGTTATAGAAGTAAAAGGCATGTAAAAAAGAAACCTTTAATGTTTCCCGACATCAGAGAAAAGGTTTTACAGTTTATATATATATATATATATATATATATATATATATATATATATATATTTGGGCGCCTTCACAGTGTCTGCACAATGTGTTATCAGAATGTCTGTACAATAATATCTCTGAATGTTACATCTTTGGAAGGAAATTTAAATATTTGAAATATCATTGTTTTCGTCGAGGTTTTAAGCAGGACATGTTGGTAAACCCAAAAATATGCATGAATGAAATTTAAAACTTTCAGTTATGTGCCTTTTAAATCCTAATACTGATAGCAAGCTCACTATCACTACTAAATTGCCTAAAGAAGGCGGAGTAATAAAATAAGAAACAAACAAGTAATCTTGTGGCAAATTTTAAAAAAATCACACTCTGAATTTATTGAATACTGTTTTCATGTATTTCACTTAAATGTATTGCAAACAAATTCGTCAATGCGATTTTTTTCGGAAAAATGAAATCATTACTTGAGCTTATTTTATGTTATAAACTCTAATAGTTCAAAATCTACAATCTTAGCTACCGTAATATGAAGTTGAAAGTGATTTACTGAGCTATAAACCACTGTGTTCGTAGGAGTTACTTCCTCCACTCCAACGTCAAAATGTGATGACCCGTTAACTGTGTTTTTTTGTAGGTTTATTATCTAAGTATCATTATGAATTCACTTCAAAATATTCAGAAGCCAGAATATTAGCTGCGTTGGAAAAGCGTTTATTGTTATTAATTGACAAGTACGCGATAAGCAAGTAGACTTAGGAAGAATGTATATGTATAATTCTGTGTGTTTTTTAATGAGTGCAAATCAATACGCAAGTTGTTGTGTGGTCTGTGTTTACAACCAATGATAGAAAAGATGAAGAATAGGATGAAGACATGCATTCAATCAAACTGTCACGTTTGTTATAATTTCCTATAGATTTAACTGTAGATTAACCTTATTGTTTGACTAAATTGACACAGAATAAATATTGAGCTAGCTTGAAAGAATGAATTAGACTACATTCACCTTTTTAATAGACATTAGCATTATTAAAACAAACTGCTTTCTTTAACAGATGTTAATGTGTTGAAATAGCTTACTAACGCGAATTATAGAAGGGAAAATAAGAATTCTACAAATCACAGATCAGATTGATGACTAATGTTTGCGACAAACACTATTCAGTAATTATTTGTTTAATCAAGTTTTTAAATAAAGAGCTAATCATTACCAGCAAGATCTTTGGTAGGTAGTTAAAGTAACTCCCTTACAACTATTGTGAACTAAAACTCAGTGGAATGAAAACTAATTTACTTTTTAATACAAAATTACAGAATATCTTAAATTATAAGAACCATACATTAAATACTTCATTTACGAGTCATTCATCAACTGTCTTTCACATTCTGTATTATTCTTACAATTCACAATTCCTTTTTATTTTTCTTTCTGTCTCCTTCAAATCGATCTTCCTAGCCTTCTGTTGCCAGGTTTTCCACTTCCCACTGGTGTTACATACTACTTATGTCGACAGACATAAGTAGAATGCATCACACTATAACAAACATTAGGCAGAAAACAATTGTATAAATACCTTAATTACTATTTAGGTTTTCATTTTAGTTAAATATTAAAGTGATCTATGTAGCCAGATTCGAGTTAGCTCACAGTATATTCATTAGGATATTGAAAAATAAATTCTTGAATGAAGGGATCATTCATTTATATTGAGCTCTTAGTTTAACATATGCATGATATATGGTTGTCGACATTACAAACCTACAATGCATTTCAAGTTCTAAATTTAAATCATCAAGTTCTTTGATGTTTATATCACCGATCTGACTTTCAGAAAGTGGAGTCAGATAATTTAAAATTAATATCACCATTAAGAGTAAATTCTTATACACGACACGAATTACAGCGTCACTTACTGGCCCAGACCTCGATGAATTGAGTCGCTAATAAATATTGAATGTTCAATTAATTCTGTTATAACTTTAAAAATATATATATTAATCATACGCGAAATTCTCTCAGTTCATTCATCAACTAAGTTGCGCACTGAAATGATTTTCCATAAAAACGAGTCTTAACATTCCTTTGTCACGAGCTACCGTCATAGTGAACACTACTTCTAACATACTATATTAAGGATTTTTTACTAAGCTAAAAGGTTGTTTGATGGTTATTTAACCTTAAATTTATATTCATAAGGACATTATCTAGAAAACTGCTGAAAACCAGTAAACCCTACAGAAAATTTTCAACCTAATCTAGGACTCCTCAAAAAACCTAACATTGAACCTTTAGATCTCTCACATTGTGTAATACTTAAAAGAAATTGAATAAGGACCCAACGATCAGTATTTAACACTTTAACCATCAATCAATGTCACCATTGGTTTACTTGTCATCATAGATATGATCAAACTCCGCCGATCATAACATTTAAACATAACCTATAGGTTTTCTTATTTTCAAAACATTTTTATACAAATTCACTTGGAATTGTTTACTTGAATCTTCCTATTGATGTTTAGAACAGTAATTGATCAGTCTCTTATTGGCATATGTGCATACTGTGCGTATTGCCTCGATATTGTCTCAGTTCACAAACATTATAATCAAAGATGAATAGTGGCTAGCAATGAAATCCAGGACACGCGCTTCATCGCAGAGTGGACAATAACTCCAAGATGCAGGTACATCCAGCTGACGAGTTCCAAAGAGAACGAAACGTTCGTCCTGGATTTCATTGTTAGCCACTATCTATCTTCTGAATATTTAAAAAAAACTCCACTTCAACAAAGATATTTTTTCAGCTGAAAATGATTTAAATACAATGTCTTTTTATTATTTTGAAATATATGTCAAGAAGAAATGAATAGAGCACATTTTATAACCTGTTATCGATTATGAATGAATAAAAAAAGGAAGTACACTGTTGTGATTCAAAAATAATTTGTAAAATTAACTGACATTTCGGTTATGAAGTTATCCATGTTCTGCTTAAATCATAAGATATACAATTTTTAAATTAAACAATTGATAATGTTATCATACATTGATTTGACAGGATGTCAACTACATGATCGTTTACATGAATATAAGGTATAAAAAGTAATAGAAGTAGTAGCTCAAAAGCTTATAGTTAAATTGATTTGATCGGAAACAGTTTGAATGAGTTTGGAAGTGCATTAAAGATATAGCTGATATTGATATTTGGCTAGGAAGAACGAGACAAAATCTGATATTAATTAAAAAAGTAACTAAATGGTTATATAGATGATATAAGGTGTACGGTAGCTAGATAATGCTCGCAATCAGTTAACAGTTCATTAAAACAATGAAAATGAATTTATTTTTAATTGTTTGAAAATCCCCATCATATTAGAACACAAATATATGAACGAAGAATATTCTTTTAATAAATTCACATCAGGTTTAACAATTATATATCCAAATTAATAATCCAAAAAATTGGCCAAGTTTAGGGCAAAATACATCGTTTAGGTAAAGACACTGAAGGTGGATAGGACGCATATTGATGAAATCATAAAACTGTACCAATGAGCAAGCGCTAACTTGGAATCCTGAAGGAGAAAGGAAAAGAGCAAGACCAAAGAACACATACTGAGAATCGGAAGCAGACATTAAAAGAATGGATAACAACTAAGAACGAGTGGAAAGAATTGCCCATGACAGAGCAGATTGAAGATTCGTGGTCAGTAGCCTATTCTCCTCCCCTAGGAGTAACAGGCCTAAGTAAGTAAGTACGTGTATTTAGAATTGTAAAATAAAATAAAATTTCTAATGTTGAGGTGACTAAACAGTAATATTAACTTGGATAAACTTGTACATTAATTTGTCATCCAATATGATATTCACTTTATCAATGCGGTCATTCTTATTAAGAAGAACGACTCCTGATCCTTTGTCAAATTTTTCAATCATTAGTGTTGCAGCTTTCAGGAGATTTTTATTAAGTTCCTTGTGCTTCTTTGTAAGAACGCTTTTGCAAATACATTGTATTACATTCATATCGGTCTACTGTATATTTCAGTATCAATATTATCACGCACAAATATCAGAAATTGTTTTGCATTTACAATTTGAAACACGATGACTAGAAATTTCGCACTATTTCCCCACAACGAAAGATCGTTAGTTCTTTCGGTGGTTGTAGTTCCATGCTTCCAATTGATATCACACTTTTTTTAGATAAAGTTGGCCATGATATTCAGATCATTAACATCACTGGCTAATATTACATGGTAAGGCAGTGAAACCCGAGTGTTGGAAAAATCCTGCAATCTAGTTTATGTTATCTTGGTGGCATCTACTACCAATCATTCTTGCTATCTGATCATGAACTTCAGCTATCGATCCGTTGCTATGCTATTCATGATCAGAATCATTTCAACGGCTATAGGTTTTTTGAATAGAACTTCATGAAATCCAGCTCGAAACCGATCACATGAAAAGAAAGAGATAACTCAAATACACTCATGCACACACACAAACATCGAAAAATTATTTTCAACGTTACTAAAGATAATAATGAGTTCACTTAGATCTCCAAGAATAATATAAATGAATTATGTATTTTGAGATGGTGGAGAAGATTTGTAG